CCCCCGCCTCGAACTCAGCAACCACACGACGCGACTGGTGGTCGGCAGCGCGAAGCTCCACCATCACCTCCTCTTTCCAGCGTCGACCCAGTGAGGTGAGTGTTTGCGATCGCGACTCCCGCTCCGCCATCAACTCACAACGGAGGTCGTTGATCTCTGACATCGCCACGCGCAGTTGGCGCTGCAGCTCTAGCACATGCGGACTGCTGCGCATGGCCAGCGAAACGTCATCGTGGCGCTCCGCCGCCCCAGACTGCGCGGCTGCTGCTGGTTGGTGCAACCATGCGCTCTGTCCCCGGCCGGAGAGGGCGTCCTCCGCGGCCTGCAGCAATTTTGTTGCCTCACGCGAGAAGTGGGACATGACTCACTGGCCCCCTCTCCCTCTTTCTCTCTCTCTCTCTCTCTATATATATATATATATANATATATATATAGGCGTGTGTATGTATTTACCCGCACCTGGGTAGGCCCAAGTGTCTTGGTTTGTGGGTGACGGCTTTTCTTCTCGTTTACTGCACAACAAGTATCGAAGGAGGAGGAGGAGGTTAAGAGCAACTGGAGCACCGCCTGAAACCGCACACACACCTCACCCACATCACAGCCCGACATATGCAGAGATGATTGTCCACGCGCACAACAAGCCAAAATGAAAAGGATACAACTATGCAGGCTTCAAACACAAACGAACCAATAATATATATATATATTATAGATAGATAGACATATATAGGTAGATATATATGAACAAACGGAAATAAATAAATAAATAAATAAATAAATATATATATATGCGACAATTTACCCTGCGTCGATACTACACGCGAGAGTTATCTGCTCGCCCATTGCGGCCGCTCGCAGACGCCCCGCCACCGTTTGCAGCGCCGCTGAGACCTTCATCAGCCGGCCGCGGCAGACGCGCACCTCCCGCTCACGCCCGCGCAGTGACTCCTCCGCTGTCGCCACCAACACCTCTCGCTGCTTCAGGCGGTCCTGGAACGCCTTGATGCTCGCCGTTGTCTCCTCGAGTGCTATCGCATTGCGCCGCGTCAACTCGCGCCGCTTTTCCCACTCTCCTTGCAGCACCTGCGTGCCCGCCTTGTAGTGATGCAGACACGCGTCCCCGACGAGGCGCGTGCAGGCGTCCGCGTATGCGTGAGAGTGTGCGACCACAAGCGTAGCCAACGCCACAGCGTCGTGGCTGCTATTACTGCTGCTGTTAGCGTCACCACCCCCACCACCACCGGAAGCACACGACTCCTCTCGGCATTGTTGTTGTTGTTGTTGCTGCTGGAACAGCTGTTGTGAGAGCCGCTTTTCAATGGTGCTTGCGCGCAGTAACGCCTTCTCTGTCCGCGACAACTTTTCGCGGAGCTGCTGCAGCTCCTCCGTCGTTGCCGCTGCCTCACGCTTCAGCGCGACTACCTGGAGTGCGTGCTCGCTCGCCCGCTCCTCAATGTCCTTCGCGAGACGCCGCGCCTCACTTAACTCGCGCCGCAGCACATTCGTCTCTTCCGCGTTCTCGCTTCTGCTAAGGACGACAGCCGCCGGCTCCCGCCGTGGTGCATTTACGTTGCTGCAGAGCGCGCGTGCCGCTAGCGCGACGGCGTCCAGCACGGCGCTGTGCTCTTGCAGCAGCGATTCCACTACACACCGCCACCCTGACAATACTGTACACAACGCCGGCGCAATGGGGTCGGTATTTGGTCGCTGCGGCACGCCCACCTCCACGTCCCTGCCACTGTTGTTGCAACTACCGCGGCCGTCATTGCTGTTAGCCGCGGCGGCATACATAGACTGCAGCGCCTCGAGTCGTTCGCGCAGCTCCGTGCACACCGCCTCGTGCTGGCGGCGCTCCTCCTCTAGCGTGGAGGCGAGCTCGTCAACAGCACGCCGTGCCTCCAAGCACTGCTGCCTCTCATCTTCCAGCTGCCGCTGTGCGGCGCTTGTGGTGCTCTGCAGCACGAGAAGGTCGTCGTGGAAGCGTTTCTGCTTCTTCGCAGCCGCGTCCTCGTACGCGTCACGCGCCTGCGCCATGGCACGCTCCAGTTGTGCGATCTGCGTCTGATGCGCCTCCTGCCGCCGCACCATTTCTGCCGCATGCTCATGCTTCAGCGCCGTCACCTCATCGTTCGCCGACCTTCCCACATTGCTATCAATGTTGTTGTTGTGGGCCACCCGCATCTGCTCGACCGCCGCGGTGGCGCTCGACAACCACGCCGCGAACTGCTTGCCCAGACCCGCGAGCTCCTCCAAGTGCACATCCTGCAGTCGCCGCGACTCATCCTCAATGGCGCCGTGCAGCTCCTGCGCGAGACGTGTCCGCAGTGTCCGTTCGTCCTTCTGCAGCTGCATCCGCCGAGCCGCAACACGCGCGGCGTCATTCGCCACTTTCTTCTGTGCCTCCTGGAGCGTCGCCTCTCTCATGTCTAATACTTTCTGTTTCTGGAGCTGCTCGTCGAGTGCCTTCTTCACCTTTGCTGCTGTCGTCATTTCTGCTGCGTCGTCGCGCCCCCCGACTCCTTTCTCGTCACCTGATGAAGCTGCATCTGCTGGCGTGGATGACAACAACGACACACACGACGCCTCTGGGGCACGCTCCAGCATGCGCAGCTGGGTGCGCTGCCGATCGCACTCCGCCGTGAGCTCGTTGCTGCGCTGAAGGAGCTCCTCATTCTCGCCGCGCAGCGACGAGGATAGCGCGAGGAGCCGCCCCGCCTCCTCCTGCTGCTCGTCCAGCATCTTCAGCAGTTCGCCGCGCTGCAGGTATGCGGCCTCCGCCTGCGCCTGCGCTGTGGCGACGCCGACG